TCACATAGTTTCGGTATTTTAGCGACTAATTTATTTAGCTCATCATCCAATATGTTGATCTAGACCATTAACTCCTTGTACCTTAGAAGTCCCTTCAAATCTTAGTCAAGTCCAACGCAGTTGGCAGTGAGCTATACACTAAGTATCTACTCGAGCAAAGTAAACCTTCGAAACCCTACCCAGGGTCAAGGTTAACAATTATGCTTGTCTGCTCTTGTTGCTCAATTTTCCTTTGAGAAGGGTTATACTTCCTTATCTCAAAGCGATGACCCTAATCTTATTCCTTTAAGCCTGTTGGTACACAATTGGTTGACTTTACCTCCGTGGGCATCCAATGAATTTTAGTTTCTCTCCGAGGGTATCCCCTCGAGGCTTTGCTGGGAATATGCTTTATGGGACCCATCTTTATCCATTTATTTATGCGATGAGGGAGATAGGTTGTGTAATTTGCCCCAAGATTACTCCCAGACTTCTATGGTGTCACTCGTCCTTTTTAGATAAAGATTCATTATAACTGCTTCAGTGTAGGGGTGGGTGTGTCTTGCTTTCTCGTGGTTTTGAATACCCTCCACCATTATTAATGTCTTCCATGATCATTTGAGATGATTTTTGCCTTTCAAAGATGAGCCTGTCCTACCACGTCAACTCATGATCCATCTGCTCATGATCTCTTCTTAACTTTGACACATGTTGCTTTGTGATTGATACACATATCCCTAGTAAGGGTAATTTCATCCACACCTCTTGCAAATAAGTTTAATTTTAATAACACTCCTTATCGATTTTGAAATTTCATTGACACTCCTTGTCGGTTTTGGTCGAGTAACGGACGTGACGGAAATGCTTCTTTTACCACTTTACCCTTAAACTTTCTATATATATATATATATATATATTCGGTCCATGATCATATTCCCCAAAGAAAATCTCTCTCTCTCTCTCATATAGTTGATGGGTTTCGGTATCTACAACGGAGGATCCCAGGGGTTTGAAAGACTTAGCGCAACAGCTTAGTCTCTACAAGCCTCTTCACCCTCTAAACGACACCAAAAACAAGAATTCCAATGAAGACCCAACAACTCGAGACACATCAGCTAAGTTGTTTCCCAAAGAATTCGATTCGAATACCGAATCTGCAACAAACCCAATTACGAACCAATGTGAAAGATTGAGATCCAACAGAGTCGCAGTTCTGATCTGCATCTTTGAAGGCGAAAATGGTGAACTTCGTGTAATTCTCACCAAGCGACCTTCAACACTTTCATCTCACTCTGGTCAAAGTCTCATGGTATATGTATTAGATTTTGGTTTTTAACATAGTTGGCTTTGAAGAGAGAAGACCGAAATGGGTTGTGTTTGGTTGCAGGAGATGTTTCGTTGCCTGGTGGGAAGACAAATAAAGACGATAATCTTAAAATGTAGACTTAAAAATTAGACTTGATAATCTCAATTATTAATTTTATTGTGAGTCCCAGCATTTATTAGGACTCACTATCTATTCAATAGTTGAAATTATCAAGTCTAATTTTTAAATTCATCCAGCATTACTCTTTTATTTTCCCCTCCTCACATCACCCCTACTCTCTTTTTCTTTCCCCCTTCTCTCTCTCTTTCCACAAACCCCTTCCGTCCGTGTCGAGATAGGAGCAAAAAAATATCAACTTGATTTGGAGGTTTTGTGATGGTTGTTGATGCAAGGGTTGTGGTAGTGGATTGGTGAGTGTGCTTGATGTTATCAAAAGTTGCTGGGTCAGATTTCAGAAATGTTGCTATAAATTGATTTTCAGCTGGTTCATGTTTTTCGAGAGGCTAGTGTTGTAGCTAATAGGTTGGCTAATTATGCAGTAAAATTTGGTAGATTTGAAGATTTTTCTGTAGGCTTGTGGCTGCCTTGTGAAGTTAGAAAGGCTCTTCTTCAGGGTTTGCCAGGGCGACGAAGGAAGAGGGTTGTTGTGTTTGATGATATGGGCTGATTTGGTTTTTTGCTGTTTGAAATCTTTGGGCTGAACAGAGTGGCTATTTTTCGGTGAAGCCTTTGTGCTGGTGATGCCGTTTTCTCTGGGTTGCTGTTGAGGGTTTCTTCTCTTTTCCTGCTACTAATGCTTCAATTACAGCAATCGGAGTGCTGTAACAAGGAAAAAGCAAAGGGATTGTCTGACGGAGGAGTAGTTTTTTCTTAGTTTTGTTTAATTTTTGTTGCTTGTTATGGAGATTGGTTCGCCTTTCTCCTTTTGCTTCTTGTAATGTTTGTAATGTTTGTTTGTCCATAAGTAAAATTTTTTCTTTTTTTGTTTAAAAAAAGTCGTGTGCAGACGAAAGGGGTACAATAAGTATTTTTGAAATAAAATAAGACGATATCATTACTTTTTTAGTTGTCGGTAACAATTTGTGACAGTAAAGGGTGTAGTTAAAATATATATATAAACTATAAGAGAGTGCAGTAAAATTTTAAAATTGGCACTGAAATTAAACTTATTTACAAGAGGTGTAGATAAAAATTTTTCATACAATAACGCACAATCTATTTTGAATTCTTCACCTAGCTTACTACAATAGTGACCGAGATTGATTCAATTTACATCTCATTAATCTATTGATCCAAATTTAGTCTCCAAAATTTTTTCCCTCAAACTCAAAATCTCCCTTTTGCATGCACACCAACAAAAAAACAAAAACAAAATCCCCACATATATCTTTTCCCACATCTCATTAATCTCTTTTCCATGACTCTCTCACACGAATATCTTTCTACATAAAAAATTCAACCCTTTTGCATCCCAACAAATCCACCAAATAGTGTAATTAAAGAAAAGAAAATATAATTTATTTTTTAAAATATTTATATTACACAATCAATTGCTCAATTTTTATTTCTGTAGTGTACAATATTTTTAGTCAAATTATTGCTAATATTAAGGGTAATTTGTGATACGTGAATTATTTTAAGAGGATAATAATCACTATTAAATGGATTAATTCATTTATTCAAGATTATGTTGTTTTATATTATAAATAATAGATTTTTAAGAGCACTATTTGAGTTCCCGCAATTTTCCTCTCGCTAGATTCCCTCGTTGTTGTCTCGAATTCTATCCATCTATGGGTAATTTAGAGAGTTTTTGAGGATCAGGAGCTAAAACCCTAGCTCGTAATCTGATTGAACACTTTGACATCTTTGCCGTTCTCAGTAAAGGATGTGAATTACGACAGTGCCGAGACTCGCAAACGATCGGTCCTCAAGCTTTGCAAACTGTCTAGATTGTTGATTTTTTTTTTTTGTCAGATTTAGATTAGTGATTAATTTACTATTTTTCCATCAATGAATTTCGAAATAAAATGTGATTTGTTGTGCACCATGTAAGTAAGAATTTGAGCGGTATTTTAAGGAATCTTTTGTTGGAACTGTTGTGTACTACGTGAACTGGTGGAATTGATCTTTCTTAGCACGTTTTTACCTTGGTATTTTCATTGCAATGCATTGTCAAATGAATACCTTAACATGTGATAGCTTCCCATTTCATATCACAAAATTCGTGAATGGGTTGGGGGATTTTTTAGGCGTTTGAGAAATAGACAAAGGTTGATTCGGGCGGTTGCAGCTCTATTGATGATGTTACCATGCTTCCTCTATAAAGGAGAGACAACGTGGTTGCCTTTTTCTTGGGTGAAACACTGAAAATTTATACTTGCTGTTTGGAGACAGCAGTCTTATTTTGTTGGATAAATTTGTTTTTAGGGAGAATTATATCCAGATCCTATGAAATTTGTCATTTAATCACTCAGATCCCCTAACATTTAAAATATTATACACAAACTCCCTGAAATTTGTATGCGCGTAATACTTAAACCTCTGTTGCATCAGTTAATAAATTATAATTAGTATACAATTATACTATCTTTTGGAATAAAACTATAAAATCAAACAAAAATTCTAAGTCATTCATAATAGAACATGAATTTTACATCCAAAATTCATGTTCTATTATGTCATTTATCGAAATAAAATAAAAAGTAAAAGCCTAATTTTTTTAAAAAAATCATAGTTAGTATATAATTATACTATCTATTAAAATAAAACTAAAAAATTAAACAATAGGTCAAACTGTAACAAACACAATATTTTTTAACTTTAATTGGAATAGTTTGATATTTTAATTTGGTCGTTTAAACGACAAAATTAAATTCTAATTGACAATGTAATTGATTTTATTTCAATAAATAATATAATAGAATATGAATTTTAATTGTAAAATTTAATATATTTGATATTTTATCTTTCATTGGAGTATTTTTTTGTCTAAACATAATATTTTAAATTTATAGGGTCTAAATATTATATATTTATAAACTTTAGGAGATTTAAGTATAATTTATTAATTAATATATTTGCAGCTGGGGTCTAAGTGTTACACGCGTACAAATTTTAGGGGGTCTGTATGTAATATTTCAAATATCAGAGGATCTGAACGATTAAGTGACAAATTTTAGAAGACGTAGGTGTAATTCTACCTTGTTTTTAACATAGAAGCTCATGCATTTCCTGTTAAAGACCGTACTATTAGGGAGTGATACTTTGACTGCAGCAGAAGCATTCATACTAGTTAAAGCATGTAGCCTGCAGGAACTCTAAATTTTATTTTATTTTAAAAAAAAGGGGTGCAACTCTAAATTTTATCTAGTGGGCTAGATTTAAATACAACTGTAAGTTCACATGGTTCCATTGTTGCATTTCAAAGCAAAAGATGCCTGTAGTGAGATATTAACAGATTGGAGAGGTGGTTCAACTTGATTGTTTTCTTCCCCCAATTTATCAGTGGTTTTATCTGCATCATTTTTGTCATACCAAAGAAGGGAAATCGTATTTGAAAGATTTATTTATATGACTCAGTATCCCTTTAGAGGGCCAATTTTATTGATTAATATTTGTTAGAATATGTCCCTCTATGGTTTCCTGAATCTACTAGTTTTACACTGTCTGCAAGAAAGCATTTCATTATTCATTAGGTCACATTACAATCTCTGACTTCACCATCATCTGTAAGAAGAAATAAATGGTCCCCATCTTGAATGACACTTATGTCATCTATCTCTGCATTCTCTGAATTTACAACTTTTGTGACATTGTAGCCTCCAAATTTTTGACCTGCAGTTCCACAAGGCATAGGGTGTCAAATGAATAAGGCATCAAAGGAAATAAAACATGCTGTCACTGAGTCAGAATAGCTTCTTAATTATAAGGTCTGACCTTTGTTTGTATGTTGGATTTTCAGTTTCATTTTCTTTTGTACTTGAGTCTAACCTAGAGCCAAACAAACTATATCTGTATTTCAGGTTTATTTCAACTTATCTGAGATGTCAAGCAAAGCTTACCTGCAACGCTGAACAGCACTTCAAGTGAATCAGGTAGGATTATTAGCTTCCCAAGCTGCTTTTGTGATGAGCTCTTCTTTTGAAACTTCATGTGAATGGTGACTCTCCTCTTGAGAAATCTTCCAACTCTTGTATCCGCCGGATAGCTAGAACTGTTTGGGCTGAAGAATGTCTGCCTTCTAAGATAAGAGTCAGAACAATTAGTGGCCCCATTTTTTGTAGGTTTGAATTGTTCATGCCTATTGTTTTCTGCGGTTTCTGTTTCAGTAATCTCTATTCTGTGCTCACTTAATATCCCTCTATTTTCATAATTTAGTATAAGGTCATTTATACTTTTGTTTCCTGTCTGTTCTTTTAGAATATTTGGTGTCCACCCTTTTGCATCTGGTTTGTTTGCATTTGCCCCTCTTCCAGCAGGTTCGTAGCCTTTTCAATTTGCCCCTTGAGAACAGCAAGGTTAAGAGTTGTTTGGCCATCCTCTGTTGTTGAATTTACATCCTTACTGCATCTATTGGAGTTACAAGCTTTTCCTCTTTCTGTCTTATGTCGTGCTTCTGAATCAAGTAAATCTATGGCTCTCACTTCCTGTAGTAGTGGATCTCCAGCATGAGAACAGCTTTCTCCTTTTGGTCCTTCATCAAGCCATTGACTGAGGATCAAACTCAGATCAATGTGTTGTTCAGAGCCAAAGCATTCCAGATCTTTCAGTTTCTGTAAATGGAAAAACCGAAATCAGCCATTGTTGTCATAGAATAGAGGAAGGGCAAGAGTAATATAACACTTTTCAAGAGTTGGGTCCAATTATATTATATACCCGAAAAAGATTGTTCAAAATAATTCGTGCATCTTCTGCATTTGCTTGAATCATGTTGATCATTGTAGTCCTGTTCAGGCGTAATATTTGAGAGAGGTTAGTGGTCCGAACAGTGAATGGCTGTGGTCTGTGGCATAGAACCCCTACTTCCCCGAACATTTCCCCTTCAACAGCCTTTCCTAGGACCTGAACAGTATGTAAGAATGCGAAGATAGGTTTGTACAGTGTTCTTGTTTAACCAGTAATGGATGTAGTATTGTAGAAATGACCTACTTGATCGTGCCCATCGATATGTGCAATCAAATCCTGCCACCACAAATCATTCCAAAACCAGAAAGGTTAGAAGAAAGCATTTATAAGAATGCACATACAACAGGTGATATTAATATGACGGTTACTCACCACTGCTCCTGAGACCAGTATGTACACATCTGTTGGGGCCTCATTTTGTAGAATCACATCTTCCTTGGGTGGGAAATACTCGGCTTCCATTTCAGAAACCTTTTCTTAGAAGGGTATATTACATTATTAAACTATAAAAGTAATGCACACCACTATGTGAAAGAAAAACAACTCACGCATATGAACTTGCTCTATTGTTTTATCATCTCTGTGAAAGGAAAATGCATTCTTTGCTTGCAAACAGAAAAAAAAGAAAAACAAGGGAGGAAAAAGAAGAATACCAATTGAAAAAGGAAGTCATGAGAAACCCCTTGGAAAAGATGGACAGTTTGAACAATGGGGAAGAAGAGATAGTACGCAATGCTGGAACGTATGGCTTTTGGCAGGCTGTTCAAGGTCTCTTGCTGCTTCAATCCATCTGTTTTAAATTTGAGACATATGTGTGACAACATTTGATCCTGTACATGTGAGGGCAGCTGATTCCGTTTTGCAAATTCTGAAGCTGTTCTGACTGTCTCCCTCTGTAGTACCCAACAGAAGGTTTCACAAAAATAGGATTTGAGTGAACATCCTTCCAAGATATGGAGAAGAAATAGAAGTAATTTATGATACAGATAGGAAACTGCTGATGCTTGAAATAATTCCTTTTAAGTAATTGCCTACATTACTAGTTGCAATGTTCATTTATATCCTTCTTTTCTTCTTGAACACGTCTCTTTGGGATATGTGTACACGCATGGCAATTTACTAGGATTGGCTGGTTTGGTATTAGAAAACATTGCTTCTTCAATATTCGAAATTTTTTCCACTTTGAACATTCCCTCAGTTGCTGCTAGTGATTTCTATGGAAAACGGTGATGTGAATGACCCATGATTGTTCGTATGGGGTAAATATGTCAATTGGATACGCCAATTTGGACTAAATACAACCCCAACCCAATTGGCTATACTTATTCTGATTTCAATTAATCTTAACCCACCCTCCCTTCTCTACCACTAAATCACTAACCTTACAGCCACACACCATCACCACTGCCTACACCAACACCAACCCCCCTCCTCCCCAAGGGGCCACACGGTCACACACCCACATCAACCCCATGGCCACACCAACCACACACACCGAACCCACCATTCTCTCTGCCAATTTTAGCTCCCCAATTGATCCTATGTATGTGTAATTTTTTATTCTACCGAAGGAAACTTTTTGATTTATATGTGTCTTGTGACTGGAGAGTATGTGAAAATGGTGTTTCGGTTTTTCAGATTTGGTGTTAACTGTGTGACCGCGGATGGTGGGTAGAGAAGAGAAAATGATGGTTTGTTTTACATGTAGGTGGGTGTGTAATAGTGTGTTGCCTTGGGTAGGCGGATTTTGGAGTTGATGGTGTGGCCTTGGTGTATTGGTGTTGGTGGCGTAGCTGGCAATGGTGGGTAGAGAAGAAAAAAGAGGAGAAACATCATGTATTATTTTGGATAATCATCTAAAAATACCCTTTTGACCCACTCACGTGATGGTTCTGCTTGTGGCTACCATTGTCGACTTGTACAGATGGCTGACTTAAGTTGCAAGGTGAAATAAAAATCAAAAACTGAGGGTGCAATGTGGTTAAACTTAGAGTTTGGCGGCAGAGTGAGATATTTAAAATTCTTCAGGGGAAGAGAACAAAAGTGAAAATAGTTTTCGAGAACATTGGCTGGAATAAATTGAACCACCCGGAAACACTTTAATATCCAATCACCGATACATCCCAATTCCCATGGAAATCGGTTCGTTTTGATCATTTCAGTGGAATAACAGAACAAATTTTTGATCCTTGTTGTAGACTTGTAGTTACACTACAAACTTTATTAATAACTGTTGAATGTAGCTTGGGGTTTATTCTGGATCATTTTGAATCTAGTTTATTGATGAGATTTTTTTAAAATACTCCATGATGAAGACACGTGTCCTCGGTATTTACCAAAACACTGTTGCTAAGATCAAGCATCATCGGCGCACAAAGGTCCTCGCCCCCGAGGTACTCGTCATATAGGATCATGGCATTCAGTACGAGTTACAACCAACACGTAGCCTCGGTCTGATATGGTACCTCGGTCGGTGTACCTCTCTCGGTTCCGAGATGGCCTTTCCTCGGTGCCGAGACGTACCCCGTCCTGGACGCTTCCTCTACTCCAGGATAAGCTATTGACGTACAGGTCATTAGCCTAGGCTAGTCTAGGCTATTCATCATGACCTCGTCTTACACAATTAATGTCAGAACGTACTGAAATGCAGGGGTCACGGCCAATGGAGGATGGACGAATGACATATGATATCACATCGAAGACAGAGAAACCGCATGCCGTTGTTGACACGCGACTTGGGAAAGCAAACGATTAATTACACCATTCCCTTGACGAGACCGCATTCAATGCGGTAAGGCTCGGAAATGAAAGACAATAAATGCTCCTAATACAGAGCATTTATTGCATCCTCCCCGAGAGGAGTACATTGTACCGTCGGCATCCCGATGACACATCATTGATTGCTCGGGACCCCGAGCAGTTAAGAAGAGAAGACATTCCTCATCAGAATCAGTGCGCACACTGCCTGTACCTAATGATCACCTACTGACTACACTGACAGCAATCATGAACTTTTGAGGTATAAATACTCATTGCAAAAGGCAAAAGGGGTATGCAACAGAAAACTATTTACTACAACACACACTCAGTGTTTTCTCCTTCCTCTCTCTTTCTCAAAGACTGACTAGATCGTCGGAGGGGATACGCCGAAAAACACTCCGGCGCCCTTCTAACTTGTTCTTCTTTGTTCCAGGAACCTCTTTCAGCCTTACTGGATCGTTCTTCCGCTCCCCCAGGGTCTCCCGTTGCCATTCCAGGTTACCACCGGACCTCGCAGGCTGTTCCAAGCAGCGTGGTTGGTCACTCAACTGGCTCACTCGAGTTCACCAAGAAAGAGATACGTTCTCGTTTTTTATATTGTGCAGGATCTTGCACGCACAATCTGGCGCCGTCTGTGGGAATCGACTAGTTTTCCTAGTTTTTTCTCTATAAAGAACAATGACCATGGTGAACACTCGACAGAAAGGAAAAGGACCCCACCAAAGGAGTCTCGAGTTATAAGCTCCCTGTCATCACGGAGGGAGGGATCACACCAATATGAATAAAAGTGCCTCTACTCGGTCAAGAGGGGTTACCCCTCAAACCAGTATGAGAATCAGGTCAGGGGGATCAGCCCCCTTGGCTCGTCAGTTGGCGGAGGTGATTGAAGAAAAGTTTGGCGATAGATTACGTCAGCTGGAAAAGGACAATGTAAACGTCCTAAGCCGGCTCAACGAGTTTGCAGCCTCTAGCGAATGGTCGAGGGATTCATTCCTTTCTCGTGGGCTTCCCGCCCGGGAGGCGAAAACGAAGGATCTAAGAAACCACCTAAACAACAAGGCAAAAAGCTCTAGGGCCCCAAAGCGACCCAGAGCCAGCGAGCATCATCATGACAACCATTCGAGGAAGGTCAGGCCATTGGCCCTGGACGACCTCCGGCGAGGTTTGTCTAGACGGAGGAAGGGAGATGAATCCGAGGAGGATCAACCCAATCCACACGACGCCCAGGAAATGAGGGGCTTACCGATGAACTCAAGGACTTCAGAAGGCATCCCGTCAGGGAAGAAATTGATCTCAGAGCCCGGTTAAACTCCAGGAGAAAGGGTAAGGCTGTCCAGGATGAGGCCGAGGACGAAGTCATACAAACGCCCTTTACGAGGGAGATCGGTGAGATGGAGGTTTCAAGAAAATTTGTCGTGCCGCGGTTCAAAACTTATGACGGGCGGTCCGATCCCGAAGCCCATGTCAGGCAATACAAGCAGATGATGTCCCTCTATCATTCGGACCAACGGTTTCTCTGCTAAGTGTTTCCTATGAGCTTGGGGGACTCTACGATGAAGTGGTTCGAGGCGCTTCCCCCCAACAGTATTGGGTCCTGGAAGGAATTGACTAAGCAGTTCCTGGCTCGATTCATTACGGGGAGTAAGCGCCCCAAAGACATTGGATCATTGCTGACCCTCAGACAGAGGGAATCCGAGACTCTTCGCCAGTACGCCATCCATACTGGGAAGAGGTTAATAAGGTAGAAGGCTGCTCGGAGGTCATGGCAGCAGCATCTTTCCGGCTCGGCTTGGCAAGGGACACGGACCTATACCGATCCCTGACCAAGAAGACCCCCTCGGATATGGGGGAACTAATGGTCCGGATAAACAAATACTCGAGGATTGAGGACGAGATGGGAAGCAGCAAAGGCCGAGCCCTCCAATCTAAGAGAAAAGAGAAGGAGCGGGAAGATATTCCCGAAAGGGATTGCTACCCCCTCCAGGGGGTTCGTCCAAAGGAGTTCACACTGTGTTCAAGGAACCCATCTTCAAGTTGCTCCATAAAATCAAGCACGAGCCGTTCTTCAAATGGCCGCCCAGGATGCAGAGCGACCCCTCCACCCGTGATCAAAAGGTTAGGTGTTCCTATCACCGGGATTTTCGGGCATCGCACCGAAAGCTGCAGGGTGTTCAAATCGTTCTTGGAAAGATTGGTCCGAGACGGATATTTGAAAGAGTACATAGAGCCCAGGCCAGAAGAGAGACAAGCCCTTGCCCCGACCGAGGAGCCGGACAACATCATAGATGTCATCCATATATGTCCCCTGGATCGCCCCACGTCCAAGGAACTCGAGTCCGACCTCAAGAGGGTAGCTTTTACGAGGAAGGTAGCCGAGGTTGATGTAGGGCCACAAGTAAAAGGGCCAGGACGGGTGAGCTTGACATTACATTCTCCGACGCGGATTTGACAGGCGTAGTGACTCCTCATAACGACGCCCTTGTCTTGACCTGAGGATAGGAAAATTCGACGTCAAAAGGATTTTGATAGACTCTGGAAGTTCCTCGGAGGTGATGTACTCCGAAACCTTTAAAACGGATGGGTCTTGGCCCCAAAGACCTCACCAAAGTCAGGACACCCCTCATCGGATTCAACGGCTCGTTCGCCCTGCCGTGGGGAAAATCACATTGCCAGTTGTCACAGGTCCCTTTGTCATCGACACCGAGTTTGTCGTGATCGATACGGACTCTCCCTACAACGTAATTATGGGGCGAACATGGCTGCATGCGTTGGGAGCGGTGCACTCCACTTTCCACCAGAAATTAAAATTCGCCACGCCAGAAGGTATCATGAGATCCGGGGGGACCAAGCGTCCGCGAAAAATTATTTTATTCAGCGTTCGAGCCGGGGCGTTCAGCCAGGAGAAGGGGCGAGCACGGAAGAGATTATGGAAAAAAAGCAATTACAGTCCGGGCGTCCAGGAATGGATGACCCCCGGATAGACCCAACTGAGCGGTCGGTAGAAGACCTCCGGAAGGTGCCCTTGGTAGAGGGAGAAGAAGAGAGGTATTCTTAGTTGGGACCTCGATGCCCACAGCCGAACAGGAGGAGATGATCGAGTTTCTAAGGGGAAAATACAGACGTGTTCGCATGGAACGAAATGAAAATGACGGGGGTAGACCCCGAGATAATCACACACAGGCTGCATGTTGACCCGTCGCACAAGCCAGTCAAACAGAGGGCCACGACGCATGGCCCTTCATCACACCAGTTGCGGTCAACGAGGAAAATCGACAAAACTCTGAAGGCCGACGCCATTCG